CTAAAATTCAAATTGGACTGGGGCCATTTTTTCACAATTAATGAATCAATTGGACCATGAAAAAAACAACAAACGAGCCACCTGAGTTGTTTTTTTAATAGGGGTTCATATGACAAGTCCACATATGCACAGAAAACCATGACTCAGCGAGTCCATTTGAGATGCTGAAATGGCCCAAATGTGAAAACACACTGAAATGCTACAAGAAAATAAATTTGTAATTAAACTGAGTGACAGATTAATTTTACATGATTTACATAGAAGGGACGCTGTGCAAAATGTAAATAAAAACAGAATGCAAGAATTTTGAATTTTCCAATCCAAATAATCTTATGTCATCGTAATACTGTAGACTTTCCTGTCCCTGATTCTCCAGTTACAGCTATGTGAAGAGAGACGTTAAACAATTCTTCAATTTGCTGTTGAGCCTTCACAGTTGCTCTTTCTATAGTGGATTCTCCAGATGCCTGTAGTGCTTCAGTTGTGTCAGATGTTTCACTGGCCATTGTCATAGTCTGAAAAATGATTTTGAGTCAAACTCAATGTAGCTGAGCTCTATTCGATGTTTTAACTGCTTTAACTGCAGATTCCTCTCAGTATGCACTCATAACTGTGATCTGTAAGAAGGAAAATCTGTGAAAAATAAAAAATTGCACTTTGAGCAAAGCCATACCATAATTACTTTTGGTTCTCTAAAGAACTATGTTGGGGGAAAAAAAAAGATTTGTGGGGGTGAAGAAGAACTGAAAGCTTCGGTGCAAGTTTTATCAGGGAGACTCCAATGCTGTGTAATCTTATTTTATCTCATTTTTTACCTTTAGTATTTTATTTATATATATATATATATATATATATATATATATATATATATATATATATATATATATTAGTAACAAGTAACAACTTAAGTTAGTAGTAACTCTAAACCTTGTCAAGGTTAATTACTTGTTATTACTAGTTAATTCTCTTCCTCTACCTCTTTTCTTGAGTGCCTTGCTCTCACTTTGCTGCTGTAACACTGTGATTTTACCCATTGTGGGACTAATAAAGGATTATCTTATTTGATCTTAACTCATTTTATCTTACTCATTACTCTGACCAATCACCGGCCCCCACTTTAAAGTGACTCAACTTACGTACCTATTCTGTTGCTCTCAAATGCTGATGTTTTGATGTTGCCCTCCTTCGTCCCCGCCGCTACCAGTTTGGTCCCTGCCCAGTTGTCCAGGGAGTAGGCTCCGCCACTGCTGTCCCTGTATGGCAGGATCAGCGAGGGTCCACAGTCCAAGACGTAAACCGACAATGGTGCCTACACCAAAGAATTTAAATTTTTAAGCATTCTGCCTCAATTTGTTAAATCATATCAAGGATTAAAGTAGTCTTCAAGTTCACCTTTCTGGTAGGAAGAAGTTTGTGAAATTTTAGTAATGTGGTGGTTCTTAAACTCTCAAAAAAGTTTCTTCACGTTCACATTATTTTTAACACCAGATAGCAAACAATAAAACAATGTTAAAATGAACAGAGAATAAGGTTTTAACATTACAGTATAAAATATTAAAATACAGAAAAGGGGAAAAGCAGGAGAGGCTGTGACTGTGATTAAATAGTTTGAGTCTGTGCAGCAGCTGTGGCAGCATCAGGAGGGTCAGTTCATACAGGTGTGGTTTACACAGCATTGTACAGCAGGAAGCTCCATGGGGGTCAAACCGGCCCAGACTGGGCAAGCTGAGGGCACCCGATCAGGGAAGATGAAGCAACAGCATCAGACTGGAAGGCAGTGCCTATCCTGTTGTCAAAGCAACACTCATTCACGCAGGATGGTGTTTTCACATCTCACAGTGAAAGCAGCGTTTTACAGTAGAAATAAATGGAGCTCATTATGCTGGTAGTGAACTATGCTGCTGACACAGCTGCCTAAAAACCAGAGAAACGGACCTTAAACAGAAGTGAGGACCCTGTTGGGGTTCATCCTAAAGTTAGGACAGGATTTAGGAGGTTTAGTCTAGTTAAGATGTTTGTGTGATGCTGTTTTCTTATCTGGAGTTCATGATGAGATGATGAAGTCAGGAACTGTTATTCTGGAATAGATACTGTCCTAAATTCAGTCCATCATGGAGACTAACCAGGTCAGATTTCAGAGTTAAGGTGTTTCTGTAATACGGCCCATGGACTGTACACATAGATCTTCACATTCTTAATGAGGGATGAGATTTAGGGATGCTCATGTGCCAGTTTTAGTAGTTCAAACAACAGTACATAAAAAAAATGTACAATTTACAAAATCATAACGGCAAAATGGACACATCTAGGTGAAGCTATATATAAAAATTTTGCACAAATATATGAAAACTTGGTACAGTATAAGTTATCATTGTGTAGGTTTATTATATCACAAGTCTAAAACACAAAGAAAAAACACTAAATGAAACAAAATCCGTGTTCACCACAATCTGCTACACACAAAACAGAGTTCAGGCAAAAAAATCAAATTTCATTTTCTCAGTAATGAAATAATTGACCGAGGCCCTCCTAGATAAATTAATTGTGCTTACTTCCTTTATTTATTTATTTATTTATTTATTGTGGCCAAACAAACCTCAGTAATGTACCGTTCAGGACTTGAGCAGTAATGTTGATGGACTACACATTTGACACGCCAAGTCATCTCACAAAAGAGGTGACTATTTGTGGACGAGCAAGTCATCATCCAAAAAAGAGAGCTAGAGCATCTTTAGTTGTTTGTGGAATCTGCCCTTTGTCTACTTCAATATATACTGGCTGCTAGATTAATATCTTGTTTTACAGTTTTATGTCCCCACAGCACTGGCTAGGAACTGCATACTTGTCTGTAAAATGACAAAACTGAGTTGAATTCAGTTGCCTTTTGAATTAATTGTTTACACCTTTACATTTGAATTTAGTATAGTTTCTAATCTGTACATTGCAGAAACCTGGAAAAAGTGTGACTTGAAATGTGATGTTCCAGTTTTAATAGATCTGATGAGGGAATTTACTACTATTTAATAGTAAATTGCATGTTACAGTAACATTTACAGAATAAAAAAAAGGACATGAAATACATTTGTCATTGCAATAAACACTATCAAGTAAGAATAAATAATAAAAATAATGGTAAAATCAAATCATTGTCATGCAGTTCTTTTCTTTCAAGACGTATAAGATATGGATTTACCTTGGACACAAGATGCTATACTTGTGCTTCGGTTGTCAGTTGGGTATTGAAACCTGTTTTTCATGTGGGAGCATAATATAGTCCTTATGTGGGCGTGGCTACAATGCAAGTTTGAACGTTTGAAGCTGTGGTCTACAGAACACTAAGTGATACATTTTTTGTTGAGCATTAACTTTTGTAGTTCATATGCAGGCTGGGTCTGACAGTGTTTTTTTTTTCAGTTAAACTTCGTGATGAATGCATTTTTTGTGTTTTGATTTTTCCTGTAAACTTCATAATTTGTCTCAGTTTATGACCTAATCTGACAATAATCTAAAATGTCTCAGGAACTAAAAACTAAAAACATTCTCAATGTATGCAAAAGCAACAGAATCACTTCCTTGGCAGTGTCAAAACAAGTCTTCCCTGCAAACGTTAATGCTCAGAACACAGTAGGACCCATTTCTGGTGCAAATCAAACAGATTCTGCCAGTTTGTTCTGTACAAAAAGTACAAAGTCAGTGTTACTGCAGTGCTGAGAATGATCCACCACCCAAATAGTACCTGCTCTGTGAGGGTCCATGGGGGTCCTGACCACTGAAGAACAGGGTAAAAGGGGGCTAACAAAGTATCAGAGAAACAGATGGACTACAGTCTGTAACTGTAGAACTACAAAGTGCACCTATATAGTAAGTGGAGCTGATAAAATGGACAATGAGCGTAGAAACAAGGAGGTGGTCAGAATGTTATGCCTTATGCGGTTTGTTAACAGCTTGTTTCACCTTATCAACAGTAGTAGGCTGTTATGGGCAGTTTGCATTATTAGCTACTGGCTTAGTAAATTAAATGTTAATTTTAGATGTATTTTGGACGCACATTTTGGCCTCACCAGCACACATTTTCTGCTGCGTCTTCTCATATATGTAAATGGGGCATGATGTATTAAGGAGTTTACTTCTAATTGTAGCACTAGATTTCACTGGCAGACAAATCTCATTTTCCCATCATAAGAAGTTTATACCCTTGTGAAAAGGAAGTATACCTATGAGCACTAAAGAACACTAAAAGTAATTTTTTTTAATTTCATGTACTTTATGATACTTTTTCTGTATTTCTATAAAATATATTTTGAAGAAATGCATTTACAAGTATACTTTAGTGTGTGTTTGAGAATATATTAGAATAAATGTGCTTCTAAAAATACAAAAACTAGTTTTTCAACAATATATGGCAACATACTGTTTTTACATAATGCTGTTATTCTTTACGCTGTGCACAGTGTGCCACAGTGCTACATCTCCAATGTTCTGAGCCTTAACTTCTGCAAGTATCTCATATTCAGACTTGTTTTGACAGTGGCAAGGAAGTGGTCTCGTTTGTGGTTTTGCATACATGAAGTTTTTTCTCATGCAAAGGCTTAGTACAATTAAGTGATACTGGTCTGACAAATATCCCTTTAAAGCAGGGATGTACAACTCAAACACACCCACTTAAACTGGCAATTAAAAATGAGTGTAATCAGGTGCATTTGAATAGGAAAGTCACCAAACTGTGCTGGATACCAGACCTTTACAAACCTTTTTAACATTTAACCTTTTTTCCAGTCACAATAGCAAAGAAACATGAGCGTGCAACTGGGCTGAAGTTATTTTAGTTTTCAGTTTGTATTGTTGCGTACCTAATTGTTGTACACCTAAATGGCTGTAGACGTGCCAAGGCTGAGCATGCCTGATGAATAGGTTACTAGTTGGAAAATAGTTTTTGACTGAAGAATAAGTTTGAAATATGTAGAAGAAATATGAAGGTTGCAGAAAAGAATACTCAAAAATAAGACAAATAAGCTTATTTTATTTTGATATGTATTAAGATGTTTTTGACAGAGAGAAATAAAATCATCAGTAAGTATACCTGAAGTCTTTTGAACATAAAATTTCAAAGATAATGCAATATAGTGATTAATGTATTTAGGATACTGATTTAAAAAAAAGGAGGATGGTAGCTAAATTGATCATGCAATAAAGAGAGAGAGAGAGAGAGAGAGTGCTGCTCTTCACTTCATGTCAGTAGTTCATCCTATAAAAGAGGAAATAAATGATGATTAAACACAAACTTTCAAAACAATACATTCATCACACAAGTAACCTTTTTGTTTAGTACGTATTTACGTCATGTAAGTTTTTTTTTTTTTACACACACATGGCTGCTGTCAGGAAAAAAAACCTTGCATCTCCATTTTTATCATTTTGCAGTTTTTGACATCATAATTTGAAAATGCCGGTTTTTCATGATGAATGGACCAAAAGAAGAGACCCGAAATGACTTGGAAAAAAAAGTCTGGGTCCATTGCCTCACATTAAAAAGCAGGTTTTTTCCTTTTGCTGTAAAGTTCTCATTTTGGAGAGGTTTTCTTTCATATATACATATATATGCACTTTGCTGAGTATATATACTCTGCAGTTTTCATATTGAAGGAATTTATTGTTGTGAAATGTGCTGTGTTATAAGTTCTGTGTTGTGTGTTAAGTTGTATTTTAGGCTGCCTATTTTGTGTTTCTCCCTATATGGTCATGTCTGTCACACATGTTACTTGTCATGTATAAGCTGGGTCTAATCCTGGCATCAGTCCAACTATAAAACTGTGTCAGTCCAATGTCTGATGGGCTGGCTGGTTGTCTGGAACCTGTGCGCACAACGAATAAACTTCATTTGTCCAGACAACCGACCTAGTTCCCTGGTTCGTTGGGGTTTGGATTCTTCAATATTTAAATGTAATAAGTAATATTTAAATTTAATTGCAAATATAAAACACAAGGTACTTGATTGCATAAGTATTCACTCCCTTCAATATGACTGTTCTAAATCATTACTGGTGCAGCCAGTCATATAATTAGTTCAATGGAGATCATGCATGTGTAGTCAAAGGTTTCCAAATAATTGTAGTATAAATACACCTGTATTTTCAGGGTCCAACATCTGGTAAGTCAGTACTGTAGCTTAATCTGCACCACAGGTTTCCAACTGTTGACCTGAAGCACATTTTAGTGTTTTCCTGCTCTAATGCACCCACTTAAACGCAGGATAGGCTTGTAAATGAGCTGCTTAGATGGATCAGGTGTGTTGGGAGTGAGGATAACTCTAAAATGTGCAGGACCAGGGGTTCTCCAGGACCAGAATGGAAACCACCGATATACACCATGAAGACAAAAAAAAAAGACTCCAGCAACTCTCACAAGGTGATTGAAACACAAGTCAGAACATTTCTAAGTCACTTAAAATGCAGAACAGTTAGATCAGTCATTAAAAAATGGCAGAAAATTCAAGTTCAATTTTATCTCTCTTATGGGGTGCCTTTACTCTTTTGGGAGGACCAGGACACCCCCACAAGCCCTCCCTCAATTCAAAATCTGCTATTTAACCCTCCCAGTATCTTCAGTTTTACCACAATTGACCCCTGTAATTTAAACCTCCAGAAAATGATTAGAAATTGTTATCCAATTGATATGTCAGGTACTTTGTTTATTTGCAAAAATGATGTTAATCAATTATTTAGAATGGATAGGTTCAACATCACATGACCTCTTGGCTACAGTTTGTGAGAAGGCACATGGAAGACTGAAGTCAGCTGGAAGAAGGAAATTGAGTTTTTTAGCCATCAGGCTAAACGTCATATTTAGCGTAAGCCAACCAGTGCACATCATAAAATCAGCATCCTCACCACAAAGCATGGTGGTGGCAGCATCATGCTGTAGGGATGTTTTTCTGCAGCAGGCCTTGGAAGGCTAGTGAGGATAAAGGTAGAGGTCTGCACAGGACCGATTTGTTTTGTCCCACTCCTGCATGATTATACCCCACTTCCACTAAAAACAACTGCAACTTTTGTCCCATTCCTGCTCGCAACCCAAATGTTTTGCCCTGTTCCTGTCCCATATAGCTGGTTTCCATCTGCATTAGTCAGAAGTGAAACTGACTACCACATGTCAGACGTGCCATTATTTGGCTTTATTGTCATGTAATTTCCTTTATGTTTACTTTCTACAACTATTTGGAGGCTCTGCCATTCCTGCAGCCTACAAAAATGCAATTTGCATGTTTTTCACATGAATGGTTGCTTTTGGTTTTAAACTTTGTCTTCCAGCACAACAGTGACCCCACGTATATAGCCAAAGCTACACAGGAATGGCTTAAAAACAATAATGTCCTGGGGTGGCCTAGTCAGAGTCCAGATCCAATAGAGAATTTGTGGCTGGATTTGAAAAAGGCTGTTCACTCACGATCCCCATGTGACCTTTTAGAGCTTGAGCAGTTTTGTAAAGAGGACTGGGGAAAAATTAGTGTTCAAATATGTATAGCTGATCCACAAAGACTCAAGACTGTGATTTGCTGTCAAAGGTGAATCTACTAAATACTTAAAGGGGCTGAATAATTACGCAATATTATTTATATTTGGAATTAAGGTCACTTGCTTTACAGAAATCATTTTCACTTTAACACTTTGAAGATTTTGTTGATCAGTGTCAAAAAACAAATAAAACAAATACATTTTGTTTATTGTGATTCAGTGTTCTGTGATCATAAAACATGTACACCTCCATATTAAATTAGTTTTGCTTCTGGAACACATTAGAAAAATGGACGATACCTTAATCACAGCAGAAGAACTGGACATCATTAAGAGCGGTGTAGTCCCAAGACCATCCAAATGGTTCCACGCTAGTATAAATGCCACAGATTCCTTTTCCAGCACAGTTCTGGCTCCAGGAACCCCATTCTCCCCAGGGTGTACCATCACCCTCCACCACTGAACCGTCAGTGCATTTGAACCTGGAAAATTTTTAAGCATTCAATGTTGTCAGACCAGTCACTTTTGGTGAAGCTTTTTGAGGGAAAAGATCTGTTTTGTACCATTTTACTCAGTGCTCGATTAGAACTGCAGCACTGCAGAGTGTAATCCTCTTAAACCAGACTTGAACCATCTAATTGTCCTCCCAATCACTGACCAATTTAATCTTTGAATTATCGTGTATGTCCTCACCTGATGTTGTTGGCAGCAGTATCATCCCAAAATATTCCTTGATAAGCCTGCACCCTCAGCTGAAAGGCCACCAGTTGTCCACTTGGGCACCACCTATCTGGCATCCATGATCCAAAGCTGAAAGAAGACAGCAGACGCAGTTATAATTGTACCAGCTGTTGCAGTTATCACTGTATAGACCCTGAAGATGTGGTGAAGGGCAGTGGTGTAGTCAGAAGTTTATTTTAGAGGTCTCTGGTTACAGGTGCTGGGGCAGCTGGAAAGATGGGGTGGCGATACAGCAAAAATATCTTTTTACCTCTCACAATATTTTGACACAGACGCAACACACTAACAGTACCACATTTAAAAACTAGCATCAACAACCTCATGACACAAAGAAGGTGATTCCCCATTCAGTGCTGCACTAAATCCACTAAATTATAGAAATTAATAAACTGAGTGCCCATTTTGAATTTGATGCCAGCAACATCAAAAAAGTTGGGACGCGGGCAACAAAAGGTAAATTTAGGTGTAATGCTAAAAAAGACAGGTGAGTAATATTAATGGGTAGAAAAAGAGCATCTCAGAGAGGCGGAGTCTTTCAGAAGTAAAAATGAGGGGTTCACCACTCTGTGAAAGACTGCACAATCAAATAGAGCACCAATTCAAGAATAATGCTTTTCAAAATAAAATAGCAAAGAACTTTTGTTTTTCTTCATCTACGGTAAATAATAACATTAAAAGATTCAGAGAATCTTATAGAAATCTCTGTATGTAAGGGACAATGCTGAAAACCAATGTTGGCTGTTTGTGCTCATTTGGGCCCTCAGGCGGCACTACATTAAAAACAGACATGATTCTGTAGTGGAAATCACTGCATGGGCTCAGAAACACTTCTGAAAACCACTGTCTGTGAAAACAGTTCATCACTGCATCCACAAATGCAGGTTTACCATGCAAAGAAGAAACCACATATAAACAGGATCCAGAAACGACGCCACCTTCTCTGGGCCTGAGAGAAGGTCATTTAAGATGGACTGAGGCGAAGTGGAAAAGTGTCCTGTGGTTCGACGAATCAAAATTGTAATTTAAATTTCTTAGTTTTTCAAAATTCTAAAAAACGATTACAGTAAGAACAGTTTGTCCCATAATGTTCAAATATGACCAGAATACATGAGTGGCATCTAATTAAACTTACAGTGGAGGTTCCTTTTGCAGCTTATCCTGCAATAATAAAGATGCACAGTATGCTGTAGATACACACAGTGTATTTTAGAGTAAACAGTGAGAGACACCTAAACAGCATATCTCCTGCTTAATATTCTAATGTGAAGCTACAATCACTTAAAGTTCTGGCATTTTAAAAGTTTGTAATATTTTTAGACGTGTTAATATGCATGATAGGTGGTTTATAATTATGCTCATGTCATTATTCGTTTGGATAGTGACAACTGTGTTATAAGTAATCACAGAATTAATTATAGTACATTATTACAGCCTTATAAGACATAATTAGACTTTATAAGTATGCTTACAAAGCTTTGTTACCAAGTTACCAAGAGTTATAACTACAGTTAAAACTATTTATGAATATAGGTCATGTGTCACACATCAATCCGTGTCACTAGAGAACCTAGACTTCAGTTCCCAGAATCCTCACGAGGATCACGTGACAATGCAACTTCCCTCCAATTCGGAAAACTCGATGGACTGCATTACCCACAATGCGGTGGGGAATCACATGACCTCTGAGGAGATCACACGCTCCTATCAGAGGTCGCACTCACCTGAATACTAAATATTTGCACCTGTGTTTTCAGTCATATGATCTAGCTAGAATAGCTTTTAAGCCCGGGCTGTAGTTTAGCTCTTTGCAAGGTATTGTTTCTTCCAGAGCATACTGAGCGTTTTGTCCGAGAGTTATTTGCTGTACGTTTTTGACCTTTGTTCCGTTATTTGACTTTGCCTTTAGCCTTTGCCCTTTTGTACCGTTGCCTGTTTTTGCTGATCTGTGTTTTTGGACTTTTGCCTGTTTTCTGACTTCGTTTTTGCCTTGCCCTTTTGACTTTGTCTGCTCGGTGATATGATCACCGCTTTATTTTGGATTTGTCTTTTGGAATTGACCCACGCCTGCCTTTTGACCACGCATCTGCCTAGCCCTATTAAAACACCTTTTGCCCTTTTAATCCGCGAGCGTCTGGTTTCTGACGAACGGTTACAGAATACCTCGCCTAACATGCAGACGGCGGAACAAGAAGCCTTTCATAAGGCTCTCACGGAGCAAGGACAACTTCTGGGTCGTCACCAACAAGTACTATCCGGCGTGACGCATTCCTTGGAGTCACTCACTCAACAGCAGGCTGAACAACAGGCTCAGTTGGCGCAGTTGGTCGCTAGTGTGAAGGGTCTAACAGGACAACTACAGAATATGACCCTCACAGACACAGCGGTAAGCCCAGTTCCTTCTCCAGCTATTGTGGAAAATCCAGGGGTATGTTTTTCAGTTGGCAAACCCGATAAGTACGAGGGTGATCCAGATAAATTTCGGGGCTTTTTGCTACAATGCTCTGTGTTTTTTGAAAATTCCCCGTATAGCTCAGATAAAGCACGTATTTCGTTTGTTGTATCTCGTTTAGCGGGTAAGGCACTGGAATGGGCTAACGCCAGCTGGACTGAGATTCATCATCTGTCCTATGCTCAGTTCGTTACACAATTCAAAATGGTTTTCGAAATCACTCGGTGGTTGATTACTCGCTAGAGTTTAGAACTCTCGCTGCCAGTAGCGGTTGGAATGAGGCAGCACTCCTGGTTATATTTCGTCAAGGGTTAAATCCAGAGATTCTCAATGAACTGGCCAGTAAAGATGACGATTTAACCCTCAATCAGCTCATCTCTTTAGCGATTAAACTAGATCAGTTATTACATCACCGTTCACGACCCGGACGTAGTAGAGAATATAAAGGAGCTCTCCCGCGAGGAAAAATTTCTCTGGTCAACAACGATTCATCGGAACCCATGCAATGTGACTCCTCACGGTTATCACAGGAAGAAAGACAACACAGAATAAAGAACCATCTCTGCTTGTACTGTGGCAAGAAAGGACATCGGCTTCGTGAATGCCAATCGCGGCCACAAAATCCGAAGGCGCCGACCCCTGGTGAGTGTGCCCACAAAGGGGTTGGTCTCTAAATCAGTGTTGTTACCTGTGACTCTGTACTGTCATCCCACTTCTCTTGTCCTTTCAGCATTGATCAACTCGGGAGCCGAAGGAAACCTTATCCACGCGAGACTGGTAAAACAACTCCAGATCCCAGTGGAGCCTCTCAAGACGAAACTGAAAGTAGCGGCTCTGGATGGCGGACCAGTCGGCATGGATAATGTCTCCCACATCACAACGCCTGTGGAGCTACAGACAAGTGCGCTACACAAAGAGACGCTGTCCCTCCTCGTCTTGGAACAATCTGAATTTGATATCATTTTAGGACTCCCTTGGTTAGAAAAGCACAACCCTATAATCTCCTGGCCCGAACATACCATTACCAAATGGTCTGAGTTTTGTGTAAAGACATGTCTCGCCCCTCCTGCCCTATCCCTGTTGTCTACATCTGTAGAAAGCCCTCACGCAGAAACTAACTTTGTGATTCCCCCTGAGTATCTCGACCTTAAAGAGGTCTTCAGTAAGAAGAACGCCACCAAGCTACCACCTCACCGCCCTTATGACTGTGCTATAGACCTAGTAGAAAACCCTGTATTTCCCAAGTCTAGAGTATACCCACTCACACAGGAAGAACAAAAAGCTCTTGATGTTTACATTCAAGAGGCCCTAGATCAGGGATTCATCAGACCTTCTACGTCCCCTATAGCATCTAGTTTTTTCTTCATAAAGAAGGATGGAGGATTGCGTCCCTGTATTGATTACCGGTCCCTTAATCAAATTTCTAAATCCTATCCATATCCCCTTCCACTAGTACCCGTGGCACTAGAACAGCTAAAAGGCGCTAAGTTTTTCACTAAATTAGATCTCCGTAGTGCTTATAACTTGGTTAGAGTGAGGGAAGGAGATGAGTGGAAGACAGCATTTTTGACCACCAGGGGGCACTATGAATACCTGGTCATGCCCTTCGGGCTCTCTATCGCCCCCTCTGTGTTCCAAGCTTTCATTAATGACGTACTCAGAGACATGTTAGGACAATATGTGATAGCATACTTGGACGATATCTTGGTTTACTCTCCTGACTTTGAGACCCATGTAAAGCATGTTCGTTTAGTTCTACAAAGGCTGCTAGACAACAATTTGTTTTTAAAAGCCAAAAATGTGAATTTCACATACAGTCCGTGTCCTTTTTGGGCTACATAATAAGTCACCAGGGAGTCATCATGGATGACCAAAAGGTCAACGCCGTAGTTCAGTGGCCTACTCCTAGTTCTGTCAAAGAACTTCAGAGATTTTTGGGTTTTGCCAATTTTTATAGACGTTTTATCAGGAACTTCAGTAGCATTGCCGCTCCTCTGACATCCCTGCTTAAAGGAAACCCCAAGAAGATAAAATGGACTGAAGTAGCTGAACAGGCATTCCAGGGTCTCAAAGTAGCCTTTACTACTGCACCTATTCTGAAACACCCTGATCCAGAACAGCCTTTCATAGTAGAAGTAGATGCTTTCGAAACCGGAGTTGGGGCAGTTCTCTCACAGAGAACTGGAGTTCCTCCTAAACTACACCCGGTTGCTTTTTATTCTCATAAGTTGTCTCCGGCAGAACAGAATTACGGGATAGGGGATCGTGAGCTATTGGCAGTTAAGTTAGCCCTCGAAGAGTGGCGTCATTGGCTGGAAGGTGCCAACCATCCCTTTACAGTACTTACCGACCATAAAAACCTTGAATATCTTCGTACTGCGCAGCGAATTAATGCACGACAGGCCCGGTGGTCCCTTTTTTTTGCCAGGTTCCGTTTTAATATCACTTATAGACCAGGTTCCCGAAATACGAAGGCAGACGCTTTGTCTTGAATTCATGAAGGAGAAAAGGGTGTGGCCGATAATAAAACTCAAACCCATTCTGCCCCCCGACGTAACCATCTCCTCCGTACGATGGCAGATAGATGAAGACATCGAAAAGGCCCTTAGAAACCGAACTGTACCCAGCCAGTGCCCACCGGACAAAATGTATGTTCCGGAAGCATTTCGCACCCAGCTTATTACTTGGGCACATTCCTCCCTCACAGCCGGGCATCCGGGAGAGACACGCACTTATAAGTTATTAGCCCAGCGGTATTGGTGGGAGTCGATGATGAAAGACATTCATTTCTTTGTTTCGTCCTGTTCGCTGTGTTCGCAGTGTAAAACCCCTAAGACTCTCCCCGCAGGGAAGTTAATGCCTTTGCCAGTACCCAACAGGCCTTGGTCCCACATAGCTGTAGATTTTGTTACAGATTTACCTGAATCACAGGGATTTACGACCATATTGACAGTGGTGGATAGGTTTTCCCGGGCGGTGAGGTTTATACCTTTTGCAACTCTCCCTAGTGCCTTTCAACATGTGTTTTGTATTTTTGGTATTCCTGAAGATATCCTCTCGGATAGAGGCCCGCAGTTCACGTCCCAAGTGTGGGCGGCTTTCTTCGAGCACCTCGGAGTTTCTATCAGTCTGTCATCTGGTTACCACCCCCAGACAAATGGACAATGTGAACGTGTAAACCAGGAACTGGGAAAATTTCTAAGGATATATTGTCACGACAATCCATCTGATTGGGCGAAATATCTGGTATGGGCAGAAATCGCACAGAACTCACTGTTAAGTTCTACTACCGGTTTGACTCCTTTCCAGTGTGTCCTAGGCTACCAACCACCCTTAGCGCCATGGACGGGATCCCACACGGACGTGCCTGCCGTGGACCATTGGATGAGAAGAAGCGAACAAGTGTGGGAAGAAACACACCAACGCATAGAAAATGTTCTCCAGCGTCACAAAGAACAAGCAGATTGACATAGAGGGCCTACCCCGATATTCCAACCCGGGGACCGAGTCTGGCTGGCCACAAGGGACTTCCGCAGCCCAGAGGGAAGATGCAAAAAACTACAACCCAAGTATATGGGACCATTTAAAATAGTGAAAAGAATTAATGATGTGACATATAGATTAGATTTACCCCCTCGATTTCGTGTCTCACGCTCTTTTCATGTTTCTCTCCTGAAACCCGTTGTTGCAGGGCCATTAGATGAGGCGACTCCAGACGGCACGCCTCCTCCACCAGAGCTGATAGATGGGGCCCCGGTCTACGCTGTCCGTAGGCTGCTGGACTCTCGACGACGGGGTGGAGTGCTGCAGTATCTGGTAGACTGGGAGGGTTATGGCCCGGAGGAGCAATGCTGGGTTCCCGCCAAGGATGTGTTGGACCCCGCTCTCGTGGCCGACTTCCATAGTCAGCATCCTGACAAGCCAGCTCCCTGTCCCAGGGGTCGTCCAAGAGGACGGCTCTCCAGTTCTCTGCCTCCCCGTTTGCGGGACTCCCAGGATAAGGCACCGCGAGTTCAGCGCCTCGGCAGCTCTGGGTCTGCCTCTGTTCCTAGATCTGGTGGTGTGCGTGGTGGTCGTCCGGGTCGTCCTCGTTCCGAGGCCCACCTGGACTCTTTGGGGGGGGGGGTACTGTCACACATCAATCCGTGTCACTAGAGAACCTGGACTTCAGTTCCTAGAATTCTCACGAGGATCACGTGACAATGCAACTTCCCTCCAATTCGGAAAACTCGATGGACTGCATTACCCGCAATGCGGTGGGGAATCACATGACCTCTGAGGAGATCACACGCTCCTATCAGAGGTCGCACTCACCTGAATACTAAATATTTGCACCTGTGTTTTCAGTCATATGATCTAGCTAGAATAGCTTTTAAGCCCGGGCTGTAGTTTAGCTCTTTGCGAGGTATTGTTTCTTCCAGAGCATACTGAGCGTTTTGTCCGAGAGTTATTTGCTGTACGTTTTTGACCTTTGTTCCGTTATTTGACTTTGCCTTTAGCCTTTGCCCTTTTGTACCGTTGCCTGTTTTTGCTGATCTGTGTTTTTGGACTTTTGCCTGTTTTCTGACTTCGTTTTTGCCTTGCCCTTTTGACTTTGTCTGCTCGGTGATATGATCACCGCTTTATTTTGGATTTGTCTTTTGGAATTGACCCACGCCTGCCTTTTGACCACGCATCTGCCTAGCCCTATTAAAACACCTTTTGCCCTTTTAATCCGCGAGCGTCTGGTTTCTGACGAACGGTTACATCATGCCATTCTCTTTTTGTAAAAGACCTATTTTGGGGGTTTTGGAGCTTCTGACAGTAACGATACATTACGTTCATTTAAAATGAAAATAATTCTTCTGTCTTTTGTACGTGGAAATGCAGTGATAGGAGCTTTACCTTCCTGTGGCAGAATTGATTGTTGAATAGCCGGTGATGGGGCTAGTAGTCGTGCGAGGTGGAGTGCAGCGAAGGGCAATTCCGTTTAGGGCGGAGTCATCGGGTCCGAGTCCCTGGTATGACTGAACCTGGAAAAAAGTTCCTGCTTAGCACTTTAGAATGGACTTGTTGAGTTAACGATGATACCCAATTTTAAGATGATGTATATTTTTCCCAACATATTTTCTTCTGAAACAGCATCTCAGTTTTATCAGAGAGCTTAAGGAGAGGGTGAAAGAGCTAGACTTGTGTGAGGTGTGTTATTACGCATACTTTTCCGACAACGGATAAATACGAAAACAGCAGGTAATGCTGGATCCAGCGATGGAGGGACGCTGACATGGCTGAGATTTAACGCTGGTAACACTTTTTTGTAATGCAGTGTTCGTAAGGCTACATGGCACCTACATAACTCTTCATGACAACTGATACAAACCAATATTTCTAAATATTTTACCTGCCAATGGGCCCCAGGGCTACAGGTGGTCATGGTCGTTTACTTTGGTCGTTCCTTCCCAAGTAAATTACACTGGATTTAGTAAGCATGGAAGTTACATGGTACAAGGTAGTTACATGGCTAACAATCAGCCTATTAGCCAATGCCTAAGGTTCAGTATCTACTCTACTTACCTTGAGGCTAAAACCAGTCGCGTAGGTGCCAGTGGGACACATCTGCTGACTGCTCCACGAGCCCCAGACCTGCCCATTTGTCACATAGATCTTTCCAACAGTAGCCCTGACAGCAATTCGAGTCTGGTTGGCACCACCTCCTGCGGACTGCCCTCTAACGTGCAACCCGAAGGAGATCAGAAGCAGAGGCAGGAAGATGCTGAGGAACTGATTCATGCTGTTAGATTAGGCTCAGTGAATAAGGTGGTGCTGTATTACGGTCGCTCAGTCTTTTCTACCGAGAAAAGCTGGTTTTCTATACAGATGTAGACGCTGCTCAGCCAACAGACTGTCTGTGTCTCTGTGAAGCAACAGGCTGTTTTTATAGTGCACTGAACCTGTGAGGTATTTCACTAATTAACAGGTGTCTGCCACACGGGTGAAAACAATGGCCTAAAAAGAGAAACAGTTATTATCAAATAACTTCCTTATACATGACAATCAATGTCAGATACAATATGCAAATCGAAAGTGTGGTTATGAAAATCTTCTGTGCTTTTTTAATAAAAGGAAAAGGACATACTGTTTTGTTTAATATAGATATTTGAACAAATTAAAATATGCAATCCGTTGTGCTCTAGCACCCTCTAGACTCACATATTCTTTATCTTTCATGCATATTTATAGACTTTATCATCCTAATAATCATAATAATGCTAATAATGAATTTAGGCTTACCTGATCATGTATTGATCACAAGAAAGTTCTTGTTAAGAATGAAAAAGATCCAAAGCTCGGAGGGGGGAAATCTTTGGGAGACACAAGGATAAGAATAAGAATAAGAATATGTATTTATGGTTCGTTCTACTGAGCATTTTAAAACATTTTAACTGACTTGGACATTAGGCTAAAATCCTTTTACTTTGAGTGACCCTATAACTTAATTATGTTTATTTAAAAAGACTGAATATTCCATTTTGTTTCCACCAAAACAATGAATACTGTTTCATAACTGACTGTTTCGGTGGTGACAATTTCAGCTAATTTTGAGCGGAACTCAAAAATGCTAGCCAGTGCATGACTAGCAAACACAGCTTTGAACAGATGTACACACATAAAATTATCATACTTCTTATTAAAGCACAAAAAATTACTTAATTGCAGAAAACGTGTTTTAGAATCCTTAATTTTCCACACTGATTTTCAGACTTTGGGACACGTTTACTTCAAAGCAATGGGATCTTACCCTGTGGCCAAGAGGGACAGGGATGCAGCCTCTCTTCCTGCTCTGAAATTTAGGGGTGTGCTTAAAATCAGGCCCCACCTATGGGGTAAAATAGTGTTTTGGTAATGACATTAAAACGTGGGACCGCATTTTTTGAATAAAGTTTTATTTTTTTTAATTAAATTCATGACAAATCAAAATCTTTCAATTTTAAAAGAAATAAAAATATATTTTTAAAAAGGGGGAAAATGGGGCTCCCGAGTGGCGCAACCGTCTAAGCGTTGGCCCTATCATCAGGAGATCGCGAGTTCGATCCCTGGTGATGCTACAGCCGTCCGTAGCCGGGAGTCCGAGAGAGCACAATTGGCCTCGCTCTCTCTGGGTGGGTGGGATGGCCCCTCCTTCTCCCCCCATCACTCAGCGCGATGCTAGTCAGCGCAGGCGTCTGTTAGCTGATGTAACAGATCTGGCGGTTGGCGCTTTCCTCCGAGCGCGTTCGGCTGTCCAGTGACGTTGCGTGAGCGGCAGTTCGAAAAGAAGCGGTGGTTGGCTTCACAGGTCTCGGAGGAAGCCTGTGTTAGCCTTCACCCTCCTAGCGTTGATAGCATCGTGTGATTGGGGGAGTCCTAACTAGTGGGTGGAATTGGAGACGACTAAATTGGGGAGAAAATCGGGTAAAATTAAAAGGAGGAAAATTATTTTCACAAGTGTTAATTTAGGGGTTTGGGTTTGGGAAAAAATGGTTTAGAAATAAAACAAAAGTATAAATAAATGATATATAAATGATGATTTTGTATATATTTAGGTCATATATCTCAATTAATGCCTGGGGAGTAAACAGATTACAACATAATCCCTGTAAATATCTAAATATACGCCACTTTTTGTAAATAGTCTTTTTTTTTTTTTTTTACTGTGGGACCTCAGTTTGAACAAATTTATAGAATATATATATATATATATATATATATATATATATATATATATATATATATATATATATACATATATGAACAGCATTACACACACACACACAATATATATATATATATATATATATATATATATATATATATATATATACACAGTCCATTCTGAGCAGCAAGGCCAATTATTTTGTTTTTGCTGTACACTGAAGACATCTGGCTTTGAGACCAAAAGATCAATAATCAATACAAGGCAATAGATCAGAATTTCAGCTTTTTTAATGATATTTACGTTACACATCGAAGAACACTTGTGTACATGTGTATGTCCATTTTTTCACTCTCAGAAAAAAAGTACTAAACTGTTAAGGAACGTAGTTGTACCATAATCCATTGTGATTAGTTTTTCAAGCTGTATCGACTCCACACCCACTGTTTGCCTCCAGGCTTTTTATTTATTTATATTTATTTTAAATAGGTACGGGTGTGTTCCTTCTAGACAAAATGAAAGTATGTCTCTAGCATGCATTGTTTACAAAATACTTTTTCTTTCATCTACAACATCCTTTAATGTTGCATTTAACATTGTTGACCTGAGAGTGTTAATCAACAAAAGTACAAAGAAATTGACTTTTAATGTTGACTGACCAACTTGATTGTATTTTGTATATATAATCAAATTTTGAATTTAATGCCTGCAACACACTCAGAAAGTTGTGACAATACGAGTAAACGGTTTATAGAATATTCAATTTACACCATTTTGAAACATTCCAGAATAAACTGGTGAACTGGTAACAAGTGAGGATATCACGATTGGCTATAAAAAGAGCTTCCACCAAAGGCCCAGTCTTTGCAAGCAAAGATGGGTAGTGTCTCATCACTTTGTGCCAAACATCATGAGAAAATTGTCAAAAAGAAAATGTCTCAAAGCAAGATTACAGAGAATATACCGTAATCTACATAATATTGTGAATTATTGTGAAAAGATTAATAGAATCCGGAGAAACCTCAGTCCGTGTAGGGCAAGGCTGGAAACACTGTGGGATGTGAGTGATGTTCAAGCTCTCAGGCGCCATTGCATGAGAAACTGCCATGCTACTGTGTACATTTAGCCACACAGTCTGCCGCTGCATCAGGAAATGCAATTTGAAACACTCTTACGCAAGGAGAAAGCCATACATCAATTCTATGCAGAAACACTACCGAGTTCTCTGGGCCTGAGCTCATCTCAGATGGTCCAAAAGACAGTGGAAACATGTGCTGTGGTCAGATGAGTCCATGTTTCAGCTTTTGTTTGGGGAAAAGGGACACTGAGTTCTCTGTGCCAAAGACAAAAGGGACCATCCAGACTTTTATCAGTAAAAGCCAACATCTGTCATGGTATGGAGGGGCATCAGTGCTCATGGCCTGGGTGACTTATATATGTGTGAAGGTACCATTGATACAGAGGCATATACTGGGATTCTAGAGGGACATATGCTGCCATCAAGACAACATCTTTTCCTGAGAAGTCCATGGTTATTTAACAAGACAGTGCCAGGCCTCATTCTGCATGTGCTGCAACAACATGGCTTCATAGACACAGAGTGTGTGTGCTTGACTGGCCTGCCTGCTGTCCAGATCTGTCTCCTATTAAAAGTGGATGGCATATCATGAAGTGGAGAATCGGACAATGATGACCACGAATTGTTGAACAGCTGAAGTCATGTGTCAAACAAAAATAGGCAAGAATTCCCCTTGCAAAACTGCAACAGTTAGCATCCTCAGTTCCAAAATGATGAAAAAGTGTAATTAAAAGGAAAGGTGATGTACCACAGTGCTAAACATGCCTCTGTCCCAACTTTTTTGAGTGTGCTGAGAGCATCAAACTCTATATTTATTTATACTTACAAAATAAAATTATTTTGGTCAGTGAAAATTGGGGGTGGGGAGAAAAATCGATACTTAGATGCATCGCGATGCGGACGTGGATGATTCTGAATCGATTCACAAATGTCAAAAATCGATTTTCTAAATTTTAATTGCTAACATAATGTTGACGGAACACAAAAGGTGGAACTTTGCAAAGTGCAGCGCCGGGACAGTCTGTGGCAGCACACTACATTAAAAGCTAGCGCAAGGGTCACAACCCAAATGTTAATAAGAGTCATTTTGTCCTTTCAATAAAATCAAACCACCTTGGGAGCCACAATATTTTGATTCCACTTTACCATCTTGGCTGCAAATGTGTCTCAGTGTGTGCTGATGTCCTAAAAATATAATACAAGCAAAAACACAGACTAGCTCAGCTGTAGCCGCTTTTCTTGCATCACCAGCTGGAAACTTTTCCACACAAGTAGAAGGGTTGATTTTTTACGAGGCTGAAGTCGCTTCTCATTCTCCAGCTTCTTGTTCAAATTTTCCCGTTCCACCTTAAAAGGTGCCTGCAGCGCAAGAATGTAACTGCTGCACCATTTAAGGTGGAACGGGAGAATTTAAACAAGAAGCTGGAGAACGAGAAACTGATTAGGCTTCACATTTTTTTAGTGTTTGTCAGTTTCTCATTGCAGATTAAACGTATCAGGAAACCAGCTGGAGTGATTATAAATGCAAATAAGTTAATTTGTTAAGATGTTCATCTTAAATCTTTCTCTTGCCTTTTCTTTACCTACTAGCTAGGTGAACTAGCAGTTATAGGCTACATTAACTCCAGAGTTTAAGACCATTTATTGGTAAACTGTGTTGAACGATCATACATACATACATACATACATACATACATCATCTAAACCGCTTATCCTTCTGGGTCACGGTGGGGTGCTGGAGCCTATCCCAGCTGTCAATGGGCAGAAGGCAGGATACACCCTGGACAGGTCGCCAGTCCATCGCAGGGCGTGTTGAACGATCAGCAGAGCTTTATTTTACTGCAAAGGAGGATTATTTTATTTTTACGTAGAAATCTAATGTGGAAACCATATTACATGTTTCCACCCATTTTCCGCCCAGTTGAACTTGCTGCCAACCAGAGGACCATCAATCAACACTCTCTACAACGAGACCAAAAACGAAGTTATGGAATCATTGAAGAAAACGGGTCGGACAGCTGTAACGTGATTCATGGACACCCATTGCCACAGAATCTTATTTCACTGTAACAGCGTATTTTATCGCAGAGGAGTGGCAGCAGCGTCTCATGTGCTCCAAACAAGAGCAGTGAATGAGAGCCTTCCAGTTCACTGACCTCATCACTTCCATTTGATTTATTAATAAAAGATATTGGAAGTAAATTCATTGTGGATCATTACAAATACTTTGCTTTAAAAGTACTGAGTCCTCACACAGTGAGAAAAGACAAATCCTGTATAGAAAAAGATGAATCGAAATGCATCGATAATCGTTTTATAATCGCATCGCAGCCTCTGAATCGTAATCGAATCGAATTGTGAGGTGCCTAAAGATTCCCACCCCTAGTGAAAATATTGGAAATCTTTTCTTTATACTTCTGTCGGTTGAATAAAAGTTCAAGAGGATTAACAAATCGCAGATTCTTGTTTTTATTGCATTTTACAAAATGTCCCAACTTTTCCAGAAGTGGGGTTTATAGTTTGAAACTATAAATACAAATGAAGAAATATTTGATGTGTCCAAAATGATGAACTGATGAACCTGTAGATGACTCTACAATGAATGACAAACCTGTAGAACATTAAGAAATAAATTATATTAGTGATATTTCAACAATGGAGATCAAATCTCAAGACAGTTAACATATCAATTACTGTAAATAGATAATTATAGTATGTTATAGGATGTTAGTTATTTTACAAAGAGATAACAAATTTCATCTACATTGTGTCTAAAATTGGAAAAACTTTAATATCAAAACTTCATTCCAAATGTTGATCTGTCTTCCTCTGGCCAGCACTGCGTAGTGAATAGATGTATTAAACATAATCCAGTATTTTGTGTAAAGAGAAAGTGAAATTTAAGTTCAAGAAACCATCATCATTAATAGTTTGTAGTCCAACAGGTTTGTGTACACTGCAGCTCCAGAGACCTCCAGAGATCTCAGGTCATATGAAGCATGTGAAACAATGAGGGCTAGCTAAAATTGAGATTACTTTTAGGGCCAGGATTGGAAGCCGCTTTTTTGAGTGATGTTTTGTTGATTTTTTAAGTGAAAACAAGTTAAAACATCCCCTACAGAGAACACAAGTCTGCACATTTTGCTGTTTATTTGCTAAATTTTATGCCTTAGAAAAAATTAACAACAAAACGTCATT